ACATTGGATACTGTGCCCAGTGCCACCACTCACTCACTGGTGTCACAATAGCTTGCATTTAAAAACAAAAAGCTTTTTCACTGTTATAGATTGAGTAGCAGTTAGTTGTCTCAAAGCGGGTGTGTCAGGCTCACAGTGGATACTGTGCCCAGTGCCACCACTCACTCACTGGTGTCACAATAGCTTGCATTTAAAACCAAAAAAGTTTTTTCACTGTTATAGATTGAATAGCAGTTAGTTGTCTGCCAGCGTCTGTGTCAGGCTCACAGTGCGCAGTGCCACCACTCACTCACTGGTGTCACAATAGCGTGCATTTAAAAAACTTTTTTCACTGTTATAGATTGAATAGCAGTTAGTTGTCTCAAAGCGGGTGTGTCAGGCTCACAGTGGATACTGTGCCCAGTGCCACCACTGACTCACTGGTGTCACAATAGCTTGCATTTAAAACCAAAAAACTTTTTTCACTGTTATAGATTGAATAGTAGTTAGTTGTCTGCCAGTGTCTGTGTCAGGCTCACAGTGGATACTGTGCCCAGTGCCACCACTCACTCACTGGTGTCACAATAGCGTGCATTTAAAAACCTAAAAACTTTTTTCACTGTTATAGATTGAATAGCAGTTAGTTGTCTGCAAGCGTCTGTGTGTCAGGCTCGCAGCGTATACTGTGCCCACTTGCCCAGTGCCACCACTCACTCACTGGTGTCACAATAGCGTGCATTTAAAAACCAAAATCTTTTTTCACTGTTATAGATTGAATAGCAGTTAGTTGTCTGCAAGCGTCTGTGTGTCAGGCTCGCAGCGTATATTGTGCCCACTTGCCCAGTGCCACCACTCACTCACTGGTGTCACAATAGTTTGCATTTAAAAACCAAACTCTGCTCACTGTTATAGATTGAATTGCAGTTAGTTGTCTCCAAGCGTCTGTGTGTCAGGCTCGCAGCGTATACTGTGCCCACTTGCCCAGTGCCACCACTCACTCACTGGTGTCACAATAGCGTGCATTTAAAAACCCAAAAACTTTTTTTCACTGTTATAGATTGAATAGCAGTTAGTTGTCTGCCAGCGTCTGTGACAGGCTCACAGTGGATACTGTGCCCAGTGCCACCACTCACTCACTGGTGTCACAATAGCTTGCATTTAAAAACAAAAAACTTTTTTCACTGTTATAGATTGAATAGCAGTTAGTTGTCTCCAAGCGTCTGTGTGTCAGGCCTACAACGTGTACTCTGCCAACCTGTGCCAGTTCACAGTGCCACTCATATCTGGTGTCACAATAGCGTGCATTTAAAAACAAAAAACTTTTTTCACTGTTATAGATTGAATAGCAGTTAGTTGTCTCAAAGCTGGTGTGTCAGCCCTACAGCGTGTACTCTGCCAACCTCTGCCAGTTCACAGTGCCACTCATATCTGGTGTCACAGTAGCTTGCATGCATAGTACCACTAATCGAAAAAAAAATGACAGGCAGAGGCAGGCCACCCTGCAGGGGCCGTCGTGGTCGTGGTGCTGTGATTCCCTTTTGCCCTAGAATAATGCCCAGTTTTCAGAGGCCAGGTACCCTGAACTTGAAAAGTTCTGAGGACATAGTTGACTGGCTAACACAAGACACCCAATCTTCTACAGCTTCCGCTCGGAACCTTGACGCAACATTTTCCTCCAGCTTAGCTTCGGGCACCTCTCAATATACCACTCACCCACCTTCCGCCACCACCAACACTAGCACCACAGCCGCTTCACTTGGTATGTCAGAGGAGTTATTTACACATCCGTTTGAAGAAATGAGTGATGCGCAACAATTATTGACAGAGGATGTAGATAACAGGGATATGTCTCAATCAGGCAGCATTACACATGTACGGTGTGATGATGATGATGATGTTGTACCCGCTGCTGCTTCCTTTGCTGAGTTGTCAGATACAAGTGAAGCGGTTGATGATGACGATGCGTCCATGGATGTCACGCGGGTGCCCGCTCGTCAAGAAGAAGAACAGGGCGAAAGTTCAGATGGGGAGACAGAGAGGAGGAGGAGACGAGTTGGAAGCAGGGGGAGGTCGTCGCAAGGAGCTAGTGGCACAGTCAGACAGCATGCATCGGCACCCGGGGTCAGCCCGACAGCACGCCAATCAACGCATGCTGTGTCCACCACCAGAATGCCGTCATTGCAGAGCTCAGCAGTGTGGAATTTTTTTTGTGTGTCTGCCTCTGACAACAGCGATGCCATTTGCAACCTGTGCCAAAAGAAACTGAGTCGTGGGAAGTCCAACACCCACCTAGGTACAACTGCTTTGCGTAGGCACATGATCGCACATCACAAACGCCTATGGGATCAACACATGAGTACAAGCAGCACACAAACTCAAAGCCGCCATCCTCCTCCTGGTCCAGCATCTTCAGCCATGTCAACCACTGCTGTCCTCCTTGCCCCCTCTCAACCATCCGCCACTCCGTCTCTCGCCTTGAGCAGTTCCTGCTCATCTGCCCACAGTCAGGTGTCTGTCAAGGACATGTTTGAGAGTAAGAAGCCAATGTCAGAAAGTCACCCCCTTGCCCGGCGTCTGACAGCTGGCTTGTCTGTACTATTAGCCCGCCAGCTTTTACCATACAAGCTGGTGGAGTCTGAGGCGTTCAAAACATTTGTAGCTATTGGAACACCGCAGTGGAAGGTACCCGGACGAAATTCTTTTCACAAAAGGCAATCCCCAACCTGTACTCGATTGTGCAAAAGGAAGTAATGGCATGTCTGGCACACAGTGTTGGGGCAAGGGTCCATCTGACCACTGATACCTGGTCTGCAAAGCATGGTCAGGGCAGGTATATCACCTACACTGCGCATTGGGTAAACCTGCTGACGGCTGCCAAGCATGGAATGCGTGGCTCTGCAGAGGAGTTGGTGACACCGCCACGACTTGCAGGCAGGCCTGCTGCCACCTCCTCTACTCCTCCTACTCCATCCTCTTCCATAACCTCCTCGGCTGAGTCCTCTTCTGCTGCTGCGTCTTGCTCCACATCAACGGCACCCCCCAGCTCCCCAGGTACTATTCCACATCCCGGATACGGCAGTGTCACGCCGTCTTGGGTTTGACTTGCTTGAAAGCAGAGAGTCACACCGCACAAGCACTCCTGTCCACCCTGAACGCACAGGTGGAAAAGTGGCTGACTGCGCAGCAACTGGAGATCGGCAAAGTGGTTTGTGACAACGGAACAAATTTGTTGGCGGCATTGAAGTTGGGCAAGTTGACACATGTGCCGTGCATGGCACATGTGTGTAATCTGATCGTACAACGCTTTGTGCATAAGTACACAGGCTTACAGGACGTCCTGAAGCAGGCCAGGAAGGTGTGTGGCCATTTCAGGCGTTCCTACACGGCCATGGCTCACTTTGCCGATATCCAGCGGCGAAACAACATGCCAGTGAGGCACTTGATTTGCAACACTCCTAATGTTCGACCGCCTGCTCCAACAAGAAAAAGCCGTTAATGAATATTTGTATGACCGGGTGCTAGGACAGCCTCTGGGGAGCTGGGAATTTTTTTGCCACGTTACTGGACGCTCATGCGCAATGCCTGTAGGCTCATGCGTCCTTTTGAGGAGGTGACAAACCTAGTCAGTCGCACCGAAGGCACCATCAGCGACATCATACCATTTGTTTTCTTCCTGGAGCGTGCCCTGCGAAGAGTGCTGGATCAGGCCATAGATGAGCGTGAAGAGGAAGAGTTGTGGTCACCATCACCACCAGAACCAGCCTTATCAGCATCGCTTGCTGGACCTGCGGCAACGCTGGAAGAGGATTGTGAGGAAGAGGAGTCAGAGGAGGAATGTGGCTTTGAGGAGGAGGAGGAAGACCAACTACAACAGGCATCCCAGGGTGCTCGTTGTCACCTATCTGGTACCCGTGGTGTTGTACGTGGCTGGGGGGAAGAACATACCTTCATTGAGATCACTGAGGAGGAGGAACGGGAAATGAGTAGCTCGGCATCCAACCTTGTGCAAATGGGGTCTTTCATGCTGTCGTGCCTGTTGAGGGACCCTCGTATAAAAAGGCTGAAGGAGAACGACCTGTACTGGGTGTCCACGCTACTAGACCCCCGGTATAAGCAGAAAGTGGGTGAAATGTTACCAAATTACAAGTTGGAAAGGATGCAGCATTTGCAAAATAAATTAAAAAGTATGCTTTACACAGCGTATAAGGGTGATGTCACAGCACAATGGGAATCTAACAGGGGAAGAGGTGAAAGTAATCCTCCTCCTCCCACGACCACGCCGGCAAGCCTTTACACACATATATATATATATATATATATATATATATATATATACATACATAACATGATTCCTTTTGTTTCCACAGCTTTTTCTGATTTGGTTTCTCTATTTGAGGATTCTAATCTTGCTAATGCCATTTCCCCCCTTTCACTTTCTTTCTTTTCCTCAACTTTTCCCTTCCATATTTCCTGTTCCCTCCTTTTTCTTTACCATTCTTCCTTTCCTTCTTTTAATTTCCTAAGGCCCTTTTTATTGATGGATTTTTGCTGCCACTTTTTAGGTCTTCTGCTTGGCTAAAGGGAAAAGACCTACCATCATGTAGTATAATGATTTTTGTGGGGAAACCCCATCGGTATTTCATATCGTTTTTTCTCAATATAGTGATGCTGTCTATAAAGGTTTTCCTCGTTTGTCTGGTTTGCCGTGATAGATCCTGAAATATTTTCAGAGTTTCATACTATTATGCGCATTTACCCTCTCTTGTAGCCCTCTCAATATTTGTATCTTGAGTTTAAAAGAGGTGCAGCATATCATTACATCTCTTGGCAGATGATCTGGGACCCCTTTTGGTTTATTCACTCTGACACCTATCCATCATAGGATTTTTGGAGTCCCAGTCTACGTATGATTTGAGGTTTATTCTGTTTATTTGTTCCGGTATTCCTCTGATTCTTAGGTTATTTCTTCTTGTTATTTCTTCCAGGTCTATCAATTTGTTCTCCATATCAATCATTTTGCTTTATATTGCTGTATATTCTTCTCGGATGACCTTTTCCCTTTGTTCCATCAGGTCTAGTTTTTCCTCAATACCTTGGATTCGTGAACCAAGAGTCAGTAATTCTTTCTTAATCTCCAAAGTATTTGCTTGAATCTCTTCTTTCATTTTCCCAAATTGTATATCTAAATGTTTAAGTAAGTTGTCATAGTCATTTCCTTCTATTCTTCGTCCTTCATTTTCCTCACTTTGTTGTTTACTGATGTCTCCCTCTAGTGGGTTATCTAACAAAAGGGATTCCAACAGGTTAGGTTTGTTACCTGGGGGATGTGGTGAGAAAAAGGAGAGGCATTTTTCTGGTTTATTTTTCTTTCTTTTTGACATTTTGTATCTTTTTAGTGGCCATTTCATTTTGTTTGAGATCATCTTTTATAAAAGGCTATGATTTGTTTGATGTAGGGCTACCTTTGGATGCCTTTGATATTCTTCCTCTTTAAAAAAAACCTCACTTCCTCCTTTTCACCCCCTTATATCCCTTCTCTTATCTTGCCTTGCAAAACCCAATTAAGTGAATTAGACCCTTTTCCCTTTTTTTTCCCCTTACCTTTTATTCTCCCTTTTTTTCTTCTTTTTTTCTCTCCTATTTCCTTTCCTTTTCTGACTATTTCTGTTTTCTTTTTTTTATTTACTTAGCAGAACCCACTGAAAGCACCACCAACGCTTGTTACTTTTAACTAAGCAATTTGATTTTTAGGCACTTAGCTTTTGATCCAGGTCCAAGACCAGGTGTGTTGTCACAGCATTCCCCCTGCAATCAGCTCAATAATTTTCCTGCTATCCCTGTGTTGCTCCTCACTCCGATCGCCACTTCTAAGTACGCTATAGCTGGGTTGCCTGCGAGGCTCTGTTCCGGCATTCACATTTACAAAGCTTTCTCCGCTGCTCGAACTGACCTGTATAGCATCGCAACCTTTCCTCCTCAGTCTCTCTTGGCTCCCTCGATCACTCCCTCAGCTGCTCTCCACAAGGACGGAGCTACGTGCGCTACATCATTGCTCCACCCCCCAAAAACAGATGAGAACATTCCAATTAAGTTCGCATGTCAAAACTGAATCCAGAATAAGGTCACACCATATGCTTTAGCATAATATAATTTTACCATCAACAATGAATATGATAATGTATTGCACTGTGTATAACAAGAAAATTGCATGCTGTTTTTATAAGCTACAACCACACAGAGACGCAGAGACCTAGAATAAAAATACACTATTGTGGCAAAAGGAACCTGGTTCTTGGAGGGGCCTGCTTGCCAGTCTCTTGCCTCAGGACTATGGCCCATGTGTTAGACTTTGGTTCAGGACTATGAAAATGCTTTTGTACTGTATGGTTTGGTATTTGGGGCTTGCTGTACTTTTGCCTTTTGTACTGTATGGTTTGGTATTTGGGGCTTGCTGAACAGATCAGACTAATGCTGTTCGTATACCGAACGAACTGCCGAACGGTCCGACCACCCAGAACAGTCGTGTGCTGCTTATTAACCCCATTGACCTTGCTAACCGCAACATTCTAAGTGGTTAACTGGGTGGCCATCGAATGTGCGAACACGTGACCATGGCCATCTTTAGCTGTGAACACATACAGCGGTGTTTGGTTGTCGAGTGCATGGAACTATAATCGGACACTCAGCGGCCTGAACACCGCTGGGACTTCCATCTCTACATAGGTTTTGCTGGATTCGTATGAGAAGAGTGGCGTTCGGTGGGATCAAGCTCCCGAACGAGGGATAAAGACTGAACCTACCCACGAACCGCTACATTTGGTATATTTACTGTATTTCGTATTCCCGAAAGAGACTGACTGCACAGCCTGAATTCATGGAACTTTTTTGGGCAGGAGCCTCGAGTGCGGTTAGTCAAAACAAGACTTCCATGGAAATCCTAAACCCCTAAACTGATCTGGGTGATTTTTAGATATGTTGGACCCCCAGATCAGGGTTATCAGGAGATATGAGTTTTAGGGGTAATTTCAGGGTATTGCTAAAATGTGTGTTTTTATGCCTGGAGATAACTGAGTTAGTACAGTCCATGACTCAATTATCTCCCAGGCACAGCGGAGGGATTGTCTCATGTATGGGAGTGTCCTGGAGCCAATGTAATTGTGTATTTGTTTCTACTGTGGTTTACTCTCAGGTCCAGGGGGAGTAAGGGGTTACACACAGCATTAAAGGGAGAATCCTTTTTTTTTCATTAGGTTTAAACATTTATGACCAGTTGTGGCTACCAATAAACAAGTTCCTGCTTACTCTCAACATAGAGTCTCATCTCGTGTGGGGGAAACGGTTGTATCTACCCAGTGGATTGCTATATCACTATATTCCTCTTTTAAGAGCATATTGCTACACTCTCTTGGAGGAGAGGTCTACCCACTGAAAGCTTGATCCTGGTCTTTGGTCCAGGGTGAGTGGAGAACAGCGAAACCCCAACCAAGCTGTAACGCTGGAAGTGGGGACTACAGTGCTGATGGTGTCTGGTGGAGTGCTTGGAGTACTCAGTGAGCACTAGGAGCATCAATTGGCAGAGGCAGCCGGTCGGGGTGCCAGGCAGTCCGCCACAACTATTATCATCTGGATTTTGCATGCAATCAGATACAATATATGCACCCAGTCAAATCTATTGTATTTCTTATAACTAACTGCACATTATGCTAAAAGGAAAAGTTTATATTACTGACTGTATTGCATATAGCTGATATAATTCCAAAACTGTTACAATGGTACAAAAAATGTCTGTGAAAGAAAAAGGTGCTATTTAAATAGTAATAAAAGGTGTAACAATAGAAAAAAATAAAAAAATAAAACAGCTGCTACAACTGCGCATGGATGCTTTCCAAATAGCCCACCACAAACTATTCCCTAACACCACACCCCAAAGTAAAGAGTAAACCAAAATGTGTAGTAAATGGTGAAAAACAAAAACACAAAAAACTACAGTGGAACACTATGCTGCCTTAGACAGCTCCTCTTTTAAGAGTAGTATACAGGAGCGGTACAGAGAGGGTACTACTGTGTTCCTAAATGTTGTTCAGGAAGGAAGGTGGTAATTGGTAGCCAGAGTCTGTATGAGTTGCTTCAATGGCTACTCTTTTACTAATTAAAAGAAGCTTCCCCAACAGCAATACACTGGTCTGTCAGCTTTGGCAACTTATTTGAAGGCAGTTTTAGCATGCCCCTTACATGTGACACATTTTTCAAGGAGCAGGTGACGGTGCTACCTGTTTAACCTTTAACCCACTCTACACCCTGGCTAATTCTGCTAACACTCTCATATGGCAACAGAAGCGTTTTGTGGTATGCGTAAAGATTATTGATAGTTTCCACTCTTGTCTGGTGTCCAAAAACTCTTCCCCTGCTAATCTCCTTGTTATACAGCCTGCACTTTTCAAAATGCCCATCTTCCATACAATCAGAATTATTCCACATTTTACCTAGCACTCGTGACCTGCTTCTGCGCAATGTGCAATAGGGGATCTGGTACTGCCGCTCTGCTTCCTCTGTATTGAGTTGTCACTATTACTACTTAACATTATTGTACCTGCTGTAGTAGAGTGTGACCCTGGTTGTGGGACAACATGTAGGGGTGTAACTGCTTCCTCCATCAAAACTGATAGCATCACTGCTACTAGCCTTAAATTTTTGTTTTCCAGAAGATGGACTACCCCCATCTTTTACTCTAGCCTAGTATTTATCATGCTCCAAGCCTATTAGAATTTCTTCACACACATTGTTGGAGGTAATAGTGGTGACACCAGTGTTGTTGACTGACCCTTTACATCTCTTAGTGTGTGGTGGCTACTAGTAATTAGTGCTGCTGCTATATTTCATTCCTGAATATGAAATTGCTTTTGGCACTACTTAGCAGTTCAGGGTTGCTGCTGGTTTTTACGGCACTGGCAGTCCTGACTACAATGCTCCTTGTGCGTGTGGGGGTGCTGCTCCTGGTACTCTCCTTCAGTAAACAGTCTACAACTGTATTTTGAAGGATCCAACAGCTTCAACTGTTCAGCACACACTGATACTCTACTTTCCCCTGCCATGTTTTATTTTAAGCTTTTTAGGTAAGAGTCTCTATATGTGTGATATCTGTATGTCCCTTTGAATCGAGGAAGTCATGTAGATATGTATCAAGCTCTTTATTAATAAACAAATCAATATTTACCTAAACATAGAAAGTTTTTATATATATGGAATCCAGAAGAATAATTGAATTTGCTTTTGAAACTAAAGAATTATCAAAGGTTACAAACCAGTTGGGTCATGCGGTAAGCAGTGCCCAAGCAAGCGAAGTCAGAGCCAGGTGTCAGTCTACAGCTTAATGGAGAAAATTCTGTTTAAAGAAAATTAACATAATAAAAAGGCACTGTGCAAACAGGGGGCCCACTTTAATTAGGTAGGCCTTAAACAGAGTTGGTTATGCTCCATGGGAGAGGATTACCACAGCAAGGCAGCACTACATGTGCTATATGAAGATTACTCTAGGGAAAGCCAGGAATGTAATATCACTGTGCTACTTAACATAGCTGGATTTCTCACACTAATACAGTTTCCAGAGTGACATAGTGAGTTAGTAAACAAGAACAGGGTTCAAGTCCCATCAGATCAAGGCTCCTAAACTTCTCTGGTTTCTTTTTGGTCAGGTGGCTTGGGTCTTGACATCCCCTAGTTTGAACTTTATAATTTTAGAATAGCAGGCATTCTCTCACTACATGGTGGGCTATACATTTCTTTCCTAGGTTCTTGTTGCTGATCCATAGTTCTGCTGTCTGGAACTGAAGACATAGCATAGATGGATAGCATTGGCTCATCATTTATGGGAGCAGTCTCCCTTAGAGCTATTTTTATAAAAACATACTTGGCTGAAATTGTAATGCTAATTTATGATAATGTATTAAAGTTTATAGATTAGGACTGAAAACCCACATCTTGCTTAAACAAAACTTTGCATATAAGTGTTACATGCAGTACAGGGTGCTTCAATTGCTGGTTCTTTGGGAACTATAAAAATAAATGTTTAATTTTTATAAGGCTACTTAGTCACCCATCTCAGCGAACAAATATAGGAATTCAGTTCCACCATATAGTCATATAATGTTAAAGGACCACTATAGTGCCAGGAAAACATACTCGTTTTCCTCGCACTATAGTGCCCTGAGGGTCCCACTCCCGTGGCGCTGAGGGGGGAGGAAGGGGTTAAACTTACCTCTTTCTCCACCGCCGGACGGGGAGCTCTCCTCCTCCTCTCCGCCTCCTCTCCTCCTCTTC